TTTGTTTTTCATGTACTAAATTGTCTTCTTCTTATATTACTTCTGTATTATTCAGTTGACATACAATACTTACAGTTTCATTTTTCTTATTATTTTCTTCCATTAAGTTTTTTGTATAACTATTAGTATTTATATTTTGCACTTTTTCAGATTGGCAAACCAAATGGATATGCTTGCAAAAATTCCATTTTATTGCACTATCTATACATGTACACGAAAAACAATGAATACAAGTTTTGCAATCATCACACACAATTTGGCAATCACAGGAGTCTTTCAATTTATTGACAGTGTACATATTATCATCATGACCACTTGCCATCACATTCCAACAACCTTCTCCATCTCTAAGTACATTATTAGTTGACATTTCCAGACTATTCTTGTGCCTTTTTCTCAATTCTTTAATTTTAGTAGTAAGTTTTCCTTTATGTAGTACAATAAGTCTGTCTATAGATTTACCGTTAATACCGTTAATAACGAATGTAATGATGACGTTGAAGATACAGATATAAATCTTGATAAGGAGCAAGAGGAGGTAAATAATAATGTAGAAATAAGTTTATTCATTATTGTAATTTAAAAATTAAAATAACAATTTTAAATAAATTATTATTTTAGGCTCAATTACCTCTACAACAGGAAAAAGTGAAAGATAGGACTGATAGGAGTGGTAGAACATTTCAAGAAAAATGGATTGTTAAATATCCATGGATTATGTATAACAGTATTAGACAAAGTATATTGTACTGAATGTAAAAACGCTGTAAATAACAACATTGTTTTACCAATAAATTCAATTACTGATCAGAATTCGAAAGATACTTTTACAATTAATGGGTTTTCAAATTGGAAAAAGGCTTTACAAAGATTTTCATCACATGAAGTTAAGTACCTATACAATTATTCATGTTACAATTAGATATAATTTTTAAATTTTTTTGTTAATAATTTGTGTCAAACTAACATCAGCTTATTCTAGTATTTTGGTTTGTTGTATTTTTTTGTCATTTTGTGTTAATATTTTGTTAATATCTATAGATTAGTTTTAAATTTAATGTTGTAGTTGACCAAATACCTATAAAATATTTAAAATAATTTAATAATATTATGACTGGTTGACCAGAGTTTTAAAGATGTTTTTACAGTTAATGGGTTTTCAAATTGGGAAAAGGCTTTACAAAGATTTACATAATTCAAATTTCAAGTAATGAGTAAGTATGATGATAAATTATAATTATTAATTTTTATTTATATATTATTTTTTTTATTTCTTTATGTTTTTTTTGTTAAATAAAATGTGACTAACACCGGCTTATTGAAGTATTTTTTGATGATTTGTGTTATGTTGTGTTAACAATTTTAAATTAATAGTTAATTTCTAAATAACTAAATAAAATAATTAAATTATAGGTGGATCATTTCATAAAGCCGCTGTTTCATCAAACTTAATTCATAAAAATGGTACTAGTATATATAACTCCTTGCATACAGTCAAACTTAAGGAAATGAAAGAGTCCAAGTTAGCTCTTTTAAAGATATTTAGTTCTATACTTCACCTAACAAGACAAGGATTAGCATTAAGAGGTCATATTGATGAAAACTCAAATTTACAACAACTTCTTATTCTTAGATCTGAAGATTGTTCTGAATTAAAAAATTGGTTATGTCGTACAAAGTATAAATGGATCTCACATGACATACAAAACGAAATTATATCATTATTATCAAAGTATGTGCAAAAAAACTTAATTGAGAAAATTAAAAATTGTAAATACTTTTCCATAATACTTGATGAAACTACTGATAATGCTTGTAAATAACAGGTATCAATATGTTTCAGAATAGTTGATGTTCAATGTTTTTGAATTATTTCTGGGATTTTTTGAAACCAAATTAACTGATGCTGCAACGTTGTATTCTTTATTAACTAATGTTTTATCTCAATTTGAATTGGATTTGTCGGATTGTCGAGGACAATGTTACGATGGTGCTGCTAACGTAAGTGGACATATTACTGGGCTTCAAAAAAGAATAAATGACATAGAGCCACGTGCATTATATGTTCATTGTTCAGCACACACATTGAACTTAGTTGTGCAAGATGCCATGATGACAGTAGAAAAATCTCGTGATTTTTTGGTTTTAATGAAGTCTATGATAATATTTGTTAGAAATTCACCAAAAAGACAATCAATTTTTAATGATCTTCAGATTGAAAACAATTTACCATCAAAATCTCTTAGGCCATTTTGCCCAACAAGATGGTGTATGAGAATAGTTTCTTTAAAAACTGTATATTCAAATTATGCAATATTGATTGAATTTTTAAAAACTCTTTCGAATGAGAATAGTGAAGTTGGAGCGACAGCAAAGGGATTTTTTAATAAGATAATTAAATTTGACTTTTTATTTCTTACAAATATTATGATTTCTATTTTTGATYGTGTAGAACTTTTAAATGCAGAGTTGCAAAGAGTAACATTAAGCTTCCAAGAAGCACAAAATAAAATTAAAAATGTAAGAACATCAATTCAAGAACAAAGGAATTCTGGTTTTGATATTTTATGGAATGACTCAAAACTAAAGTCAAATGAATTGTGTTTGGAAGAAAAAGATAAAACTAGAACCCGAAAACTACCAAAACGATTTAATGAAGGGAGTGAACCACATATATTTTCTGACATTCGAGAAGAATATAAAGCTTTATTCTATGAGATTATTGATGTAACATTAGCTTCATTAGATAGGCGGTTTCAACAAAATGTTATTGAACATTTATCATTAATTGAAAGATTCATCATTGGGGAAGAAACTTCACATAAACATATAATTAAATTTTATGGATCTGACTTTGATGATGATAAATTGCAATTACACAGGGATATGTTTTTAGATGTAGCAAAATCGAGAAAGGTGCCAATTAAAAATGTTGATGATGTCTTGAAGCTAATGAAAAACGATGATGCACTTTGTCAAATGTTACCAGAGTTAAAAAAAATATTATGCATAATGTTAGTTATACCAGTGTCATCATGTACTTCAGAAA